TCTGGACACTTCTGGGTGTGTGTTGGCCAGGGACTCTCAGGAGGTGTCAATGTGTGTGCGTGTGTGACACTCCCTGGGGCTTGTTATGAGAGCCAACATGGCGTGTGTGTGCGCGTGCGGGTGTGTGTGTGTGTGTGTGTGTGTGCGTGCGCACACAACACAGAGAGAGACCCTCACTGGGGCTTGTTATGAGAGCCAACAGTGTGTGTGATAGAGGGAGATGCTCTCCGGGGCTTGTAATGAGGCTCAACAGAGGGGTGTGTGTGTGTGGTGGGTGACAGAGAGAGAGACACTCACTAGGGCTTGTTATGATGCCTGATAGAGGTGTGTGTGTGTGTGTGTGTGTGTGTGTGTGTGTGTGAGAGAGAGAGAGAGAGAGAGTGAGACTCACAGTAGCTTGATACGAGGCCCAACAGGGTGTGTGTCCATGTGTGTCTCAGTGAGACACTCCCTGGGGCTTGATATGAGACCAGACTTTGTGTGCATGTGTGTGTGTACACTCACTGGCGTTATGAGGCTTGGTGGTGGGGTGTGTAACACTCCCAAGCAATTGTTCTAAGTCACAAGTGTGTATGTGTGACTCACTGGGACTCATCACGAAGCCGGATCGTTCACGTCCCAGCATGTGCTTGTGCGTGTGTTGTACACACTGGTGGTGTGGCGCACGGCTGGCTGTGTGCGTGCCCGGTGCCCTGGGCGAGGTCTGTGGGGTGCAGCTCCCTGACACGTGGTGCTTGTGTCCCCCCCGCAGCCACGGCGCTGATCCTCTTCCCGGCCATGTGTCTGCTGTCCGTCGGCGGGATCCTCTTCATCCTCACCAACATGCAGGTCTGACCCTCCCCCCTCTGCCCGGCCTCCGGCTTAGTGAGGAAGGGGCCTCTTGAGGTGGGTGGGCTTGCTGCCCCCTGCTGGGTCCCATGGGGAATCCGAGCTTTAGAAGCAGGCTCAGAGACCCAACACGCCCTGAAGTGGGAGCCCCCCAGAGCGGGGAAGCCGGGGAGGCTGGAGTGCGCACTTCCCAAGTGGGGAGAGGGCTTTGGTGAAGGAGAGGACGCTGAGGTGGCCCTTGTGCGGCCCTGGAGGAAGGCCCACGGGGTGGCGCCATGAAAAGCGAAGAGGCAGAGCAGGGTGTGTACAGCCTGGACAAACCTAGAGCAGTGCGTGTCACAAGAAAGTCTGAACATTTCAACGGGCATCTTGCAAGCTTCCCCTGCCACCGAATGCAGTGGCTGTGCCCTCGTCACTGTGTGCGGCGGGCATCCTGGTACAACGGCCACCGGAGCAAGAGTGCTGGGCTTTGCTTCTGCCTCAGCACAATCCTAGAATCCTGGAACCAGAAGGGACCTTGAGAGGTCATCAAGTCCAGTCCCCTGCCCTCACGGCAGGACCACGCACCATCTAGATCAGTGGTTCCCAACCTTTTCCAGATGGGGACACATTTTGATAATTCAGGAAGACTTGGTGACCCAGGGAAATTCAAAAATGAGGAGAGGGGAGGGGAGGGGGCAGAGCCACCTGGGGAGACACTTGGCGACCCTTTTGAAACGTAATGGTGACCCATATTTGGGTCCTGACCCATAGGTTGGGAAACCCTGATCGATGTCTGTCCAACCTGCTCTTCAATGTCTCCAATGATGGAGATTCCACAACCTCCCTAGACAACTTATTCCAGTGTTTAACCACCCTGACAGGTAGGAAGTTTTTCCTAATGTCCAAACCTAAACCTCCCTGGCTGCAATTTAAGCCCATTGCTTCTTGTCCTATCCTCAGATGTCAAGGAGAACAATTTCCCCCGCTCCTCCTTGTAACACTCTTGCAAACACTCCGGACGATGTTAGATGTGTGTTGGGCAAAAATGTGGTGCTTCCAGCAGCATGTTCATCCTGCATGCTGCAGTATCGTGCAAACACAAGAAATTGATTTGTTCAAGCTCAGGCTGTCGACTGTTCGGGCAAGCATCACACAGAGCTGGGATGCTTGGTAGCTCAGCGTGAACATTCACTTCTTCTTTTCCATTTCCCACTTTGCTTGTGGAACAGAGAAGAAAGGCAGCCCTTCTCCAATTTTCTCCTTCCTCACTCATGACATCTGGAAGTGTTTGTGTTACCCTGCAGTTGTGGTTTTGGGGGGGTAGGACTCATTCGAAGCCTTTCTGCTTGCATTTCAAAATACTCAAATAGAAATCGGACGTTTGTGGCAAATTCTTGCAAGGAAGGCAGTAAATAGACAGCAACGGCCCAATCTGGATTTGGCTTTTGGAATCAGGTGCTAGTTGTGCCTACGCTTTCTAATATCACGTCCCAGAAGGTCCTCATGACAGATTTTCTCGTACAATGGTCATGCTGCCATTTTCCTTGGCATGGTCTCTTGTCCTTTCAAACAGTGTTGAGTGTCCTCACAGTTCATGACAATTGCTTTCCAAGATTCAACTTGATGAGATCCGCTTGTGTCTGGCAGCATATTCAGGGCACAGTCAACCTGTGGAACTCCTTGCCAGAGGATGTTGTAAAAACCAGAACTTTACCAGGGTTCAAAAAAGAGCTAGATAAATTCATGGAGGACAGGTCCAACAATGATTATTAGCCAGGATGGGCAGGGATGGTGTCCCTAATCTCTGTATGTGAGAGTCTGGAAATGGGTGACAGGGGAGGGATCACTTGATGATTGTTCTGTTCAATTTCTCTGGGGCACCTAGTATTGGCCCCTGTCGGAAGACCGGACACTGGGCTGAGATGGACCTTTGGTCTGACCCAGTGTGGCTGTTTTTAGGACAAGGAGGATTCCTTGATCACTCTTGTTTCACAGATACGGCCCATCCCCTGGCCAATGCTGAATAGCCAACCAGCCAACCCACTCACCAACGCTCAACAATTCCTTGTCATTTCTGCACAAAACACTGAAAGTTGATGGCTTCCAAGCAAGCCTCCATGCTCCGTGTCCCAGCAATGTTCAGAGAAAGAGCTGTGCACGGCCCATGCCCAGAGAGGGGGCATAAATCTTTGGAGCTGAGCTCAAAGACCTTCACGCTTTCCAGACATGCTGCTTGCCTGATGGTATGATTGACCTCTGCCGTTTGCAGTAGCAGTGTTGTTTGTGTCCGACGACAACATCACAGGCTGGGAGAGGGACTTTGCCATGTGGAGTCGGACGGGTACCCACCAACAGCGTGCTCGTACCTGACACTATGCAAGCCGTATCGGAAAATGACAGGTAACGGTTCAACGTGAGCGTCCGCAGGAGCTGAGCCTGCCCTCACAGAGTAGCATTTCTCCTGCGTAATGTCACTGCCATCGACTTTCAAAACTGTTCCTCCCACTCACTCGAGAAACTCGTCACAGATTGTTTTGAACAAGTAGAATGTTTCCACGGCGGCATTTGAAGCCCTCGCTTAGCCATGGAGCATAGTTAGCGATAGTTCCAGGGGGACCTTGGTAACTTCCATTTTCAGGAGAGCCGACGATGTCTTCCCTTCTGCTAAATTCTAAATCAGAGAGAAGCTTAATTGTCACAACAAACCTTAAACTGTCCTTCTGGTGCCCACTCTGAAAAGAGGCCAGGCCTTCCTTCATACGCTTCATGCAAAACTCCTCTGCTATCAAAGGCCATTTGGCCAGGTCTTGGTTGATGCTAATGGCTACTTTATCTTTCATATTGTGTTTCATCTCTCTGCCCTCTGTTTGGACAGGTGGCAGGAAAAGTTAGCCATCTCTTTCATAAGAACATAAGAACAGCCATATTAGGTCAGATCAAAGATCCATTAGCCCAGTATCCTGTCTGCCGACAGTGACTAATACCAGGTGCCCCAGAGGGAGAGAACAGAACAGGGAATTGTCATGTTATCCTTCTCCTGTCATCCCTTTCCAGCCCCTGACGGAGGCTACACCATTCCTACCCAGTCTGGCTAGTAAGTATTGATGGACCTAACCTTCATGAATTTATCTGGTTCTTTTTTGAACCTTGTTAAAGTCCTGGTCTTCATGTTATCCTTCTCCTGTCATCCCTTTCCAGCCCCTGACGGAGGCTACACCATTCCTACCCAGTCTGGCTAGTAAGTATTGATGGACCTAACCTTCATGAATTTATCTGGTTCTTTTTTGAACCTTGTTAAAGTCCTGGTCTTCACAACATCCTCTGGCAAGGAGTTCCACAGATTGACCATGTGCTGAGTGAAGAAACACTTACTTCTGTTTGTTTAAAACTTGCTACCTATTAATTTCATTTGGTGAGCCCCAGTTCTTGTGTTATGGGAACAAGTAAATAACTTTTCCTTATTCACTTTCTCCACACCTGTCATGATTTTATAGACCTCTATCATATCTCCCTTTAGTCTCCTCTTTTCTAAGCTGAAAAGTCCAAGTCTTTTTAATCTCTCTTCATATGGGACCCGTTCCAAACCCCTCATTTTCGTCACCCTTTTCTGAACCTTTTCCCAATGCCAATATATCTTTTTTTGAGATGAGGTGACCACCTCTGTATCACATCATCATGACTTTTGTCTTAGATTGCAGAGACATTTTTCTTCTGTCCTTCCCCGACATCATGATTCCCATTTTCTCAGCAAGCTGGTCCGGCAACATTTGGAAGCCGTGAGAGCAGAGAAATCATGTGTCCTGTTGGGTAGCTTGCTTACAGAGTGCTGTCTTTCCAACTTCCTGTTCCGTCTCGAAAGCGTGGACTTGGTAGGAGGTTAATGAGAGGTTCAGCCAGTCCTAGCTAGCAGCCCGAGACCGGTGATAGTTGCCCCCAGTTCGTACCCCTGCCTTCAGCAACTGAACGTCGGAAAAGAATGAAATACGCCTGACGTGGGAAAGCTTCAGATGTTAGCAAGATTAGGACCAAAATCCCACGTGGGTGCAGGATCAGAGCCCCACTCAGGAAAGCAGAGGCCTCGGGGTGCGGGCGTCCTCATGGAGAATGGGGAAACTGGTCCTCCTTCAGCCCGGCTCCCCAGAGACCCCAGTCCCCATAGCGTTCCCTCAGCGTCCTCTCCAACCCCACCGGGCCCCCCTTAGCCCGACTCCCATATCCCAGAGTGCCACCCCCACATCCTGGCTCCATGTGGGCTCCCTGGCCCCATAAGCCTCCCCCATCCAGCTCCCTGTGGGTCCCAGCCCCAAAGCGCTCTGTCAGCCCCCAGCCCGTGCTCCCTGTGGCCCAGCAGGGCTGATTGGCCGGGGGGTGTCTCATGCTTCCAGGTGGGGAACCTGTTTGGGAAGCACCGCTCCACCATCATCACCCTCTACAACGGGGCCTTCGACTCGTCCTCCGCCATCTTCCTCCTGGTCAAGGTGAGCGCTGGGGCCCAGCTCGGGGGGGAGGGAGGGGAAATGGGGGGAGCAGAGGGGAGGTTGGGAGGCTGGGGCAGAGGAGAGACCTCCTGAAAAGCTCAGCCTGAATGTCCCTCCCACCCGCAGGAGTCACAAGGCCGGCTGATGAATCTTGTCTGGGTCTGGCAGGACTCCAGCAGCCTGCAGTCCACTGGTGCTGGAGTTAGCCAGCAACTGCAAGGATGGGACCCCAGGAGGGAGATGGCTGAGCCCCGGGGGATGCTGGGAATGTCCGGGGATTCCCCGGAGCCCTTGAGGACACTTGCTGCGAGTTTCCTTGCTGGCTGGCCCAGGGCCCAGAGGCAGCTGCTAGAGTTAAGCATGAGGCTATGGTATGGTCTAAGACAGGGGTGGGGAACCTCAGGCCCAGGGGCTAGATATGGCCCCCGGCTTGCCTGGATCCGCCCCCTGAGGCTCAGCATGGGCTGGGGCACACAAAATCTACTAGCCCGGGTCCCCCTCCCCTGCTGTGTGAGGGGAATGTGGAACCCCTGACTGATTTTTCTGTGGGTCAGCAGCCCCCGACCCAAAAAAGGTCCCCCCCCAGCTAAGAGCTTTTCCCCCCTCAGTGCCCACATGCTGATGTGGGTTGGGTCAAAATTGGCTCTGTTGCATGGGAGCCCAGGGCGGGGTTTGAGGTGCGGATTTGGGGCCCATTGAGCAAGCTACAGCCCCCACCCCGATTTTCTGACGTCCAATGATCCGCTTCTTGTCACCCCAC